TGGGGATTTAGCTCAGCGGCATAAGTGCCTGCTTGCAAGCAGGTGGTCATGAGTTCAATCCCTGGTACCGATAAAAAGGAAAAAGACCAAAAAAAAAAAAAAAAAAAGTACAAAAAGAAAATAAGGAGTTAGCTGAGCGAGGCGGTGTACATCTGTAAATCCCAGGGTGTGGGCAGCTAAGGCAAGAAGATCACCATGAATTCAAACCCAATTTGGGCTACACAGTGAGTTTAAGGCCAGCCTGGGCTACATAGCAAAAGACTGTCTCAAAAGAAAAAAAAAGTTGGTATAAACATTCAGGTGCAACTTTTGTGAGTGAATATATGTTTTCACTTAGATCTGTTTCTAGGAGTTGGAATTGTTGGACCATATAATACACCATGTTTAACTCTTTTTTTTTTTTTTTTTTTTGGTACCAGGGCTCGAACTCACAACCTCGAACTTGCCAGGCAGGCACTTATGCCTCTAAGCTAAATCCATCTTTTTTGTTTTTCCTTCTTTTCTATTTTATTTATTTATTCATTTTATTGTACCAAGGATCAAATTCATGGCCTCGCACTTACCAGGCAGCACAGCGCCACTGAGCTATATACCTAGCCCCCCCCCCCTTTTTTTTCCTGAAACAGGGTCTCTCTATGCAGTTCAGGATGGCCTTGAGCTCACTTTGTAGCCCAGGTTGGTCTCAGTGATCCTTCTGCCTCAGCCTCCCAACAGCAGTGTGCCACCACACCCAGCTTCCATGTTTAACTCTTAAGGAACTGCTGGGCCATTTTCCCTCAAGACAATGCTTTATATTCCACTAGCAGAGCCTGAGTTCAATATCTCAACATCTTCATCAAACACTTTTTGTTCATTTATTTATTGCCACACTGGGGACTTTGAACTCAGGGCCTTTGTACTGAACTACATCCCCACTCTTTTAATTTTTCTTTTCGGTATTTTCTTTTTAGTTTGAGACAGCGTCTCACTGAGTTGCCTAGGCTGGACTTGCACTTGTGACAGTGCCTCCCAGGGTGCAAGGATTATAGGGCTGTGCCACCATTACCCAGCACAAGTCTTAAAGATTGATTTCTCACTTGAGCAAATCATTAAATACCATGAGCAAATTGCTCTGAGTCTCAGGATTCTGCATTTGTACAGACAGAACTGTGATATCTTGAAGGTATGAGATAAAACTACATATCAATGAGGCATGTAATGCCCAGATCCCAGAGCTTGGTCAGCCTGGATGGAACCTGTTTCCCGCTGAGGCTCTTGGAAGAGTATCTCTGAGGCTTGGGGTGCTAGGTAATCCACAAGCTTCCCCGAGTCTCTTCCTTGCTAGATGCTGGCATGGTGTTTATCCAAATCTGCTGCTTGGGCACAGAGACTTGTCAGCTCTGTTCATTGCTGTGTCCTTAGTGCCTAGCCCAGTGCCAGACCCCAATAGTGTGCTCATCTAATATACGCTGCATGGGCGTGGAGAGAGTGCAGAGGTACAGTGCTTATCTGGTATGGTCAAGGTCCTGGGTTACATCCCTATCCCTTGAAAAAAAAAGTGATAAATGAATGAAAAGGAGCTGGAATCCCTTGCCCAAGGTCACTCAGACAACGAATGGGGAAGCTGGGACTTGCAACTGCCTGGCCAGAATATATTTTAATGGCACTGAATATGAACTTTGTATTTAGTAATGGATTTTTTTAAAAGCATGGCTTTGGCCTAAATGTTAAATGGATCATCCTGACAGATATTTTAGGTCCCAGGTGAGTATTTTCCCTTTGCCAAGAATAGCCTCATAACTCCGGCTCAACCTGCTAGCATCCAGATCCCACTTGGGCAGTGGCTCCTCTGGGAAACCCTCCCTTACCAGCATCCCTCACCTCCCGGCTCTGTCAAATGTCCCCTTAGTGGGCTCCCACTGAAGCCTTTGGTTGACATATTATTGAAATTATCTTTCTCACTAAACCTTAAAGTCTTTGACAACAAACACTGGGTCTCCATGGCTTCCTTTGATCCCTTCCCCATACCCACATGAACAGCATCAGGAGGAGCTTAATGAATGTACATGAACTGATAAATGATGTGAGCCTCAGTTGTTGATGGGAATCAAACTGGCTGGGAGAAAGCACGATTTTCTTCCCATGAGGACAATAGCCAAAGCTGAAAATCTGATCATGTTCTGCTTCTTCCAAAGGGCCTAAACTGGGTAGTTTCCATATTTTCTTTCTTTTTTTTTTGGTACTGAGAATTGAATTCAGGACCTCATGCTTGCCAGATTGGTGCTGGGCTGCTGAGCCCTGGTTTCCTTATTTTACATTAAGTGACAGTATAGTGATTGAGAGCTTGGACTGAGAGCCAGACCAGTAGGGTCTGAATCTAGACTGCCACATTCCAAATTGTATGACCATAAGCAAGTTACAGAAGCAATCTGTGCCTCAGTTTCTTCATCTGGACCTTGAAGTAATAATAGTATTGTATTGTCAGTAATTCATTAAATGAATTACTACATGGAAGGTGTTTAGAGAAGACCTGATGATAATCACTGTATAAATATGAACAAATATAATTAAAAATTTTTTTGACACTGGTAATTGAAACCAGGGTCTTTGGGGCTGGGGATTTAGCTCAGTGGCATAAGTGCCTGCCTTGCAAGCATGCAGTTGTGAGTTCGATCCCCGGTACCGATTAAAAAAAAAAAAATTCAGCACAATTTAGCCAGGCGTGGTGGCTCACACCTGTAATCCCAGCACTTGGGAGTCTGAGGCAGGAGGATCATTGTGAGACCAGCCTGGGCTACAAAGTAAGCTCAAGGCCAGCCTGAACTACATAGAGAGACCCTGTCTCAAAAAGACAAAAAAAAAAAAAAAAAAAAAAAGAAGAAGAAACCAGGGTCTTCACACTGAGCTACATCCTTAGCTCATCCTTTTAAATTAGTTCATTAATTAATTTGCTTTGTTTCTTGAGATAGGGTCTCGCAGAACAAGTATAGTGAAGAAAACAAGATATACTGTGATATTACTGTTATCCCAATAACCTGCTGTGAAGTTCTGTACCAATTTCACTACACTGTCTCAATTGGCTTTGTTCTGTTGTATTTTACTACCTTCAAAATAATAAAAAAAAATTGAGAAAGGGTCTCAGTATATAGCTCAAACTGGCTTAAACTCACTTTATAGCCCAGATTGTCCTTGAACTTGCAGCACTCTGCCTGCCTCAGCCTCCTGAATGCTAGGATTATGGCATTCAGGCATATGACACCATGCTTGGCTGTATTTTTTTATTTTGCGATAGGGTCTTGCTAAACTGTTAATTGCCCAGGCTGGGCTCAAACTTGCAATCTTTCTGTCTCGGGCTATTTGAGTACTGGGATTACAGGGATGCACAACTATGACTGGTACAATCTCCTTTTTAAGTAACTTTAAAAGTGGGTCAGTTTAAGGAAGATGATGGTATAAAATAAAAGTGGTCTAGAGCCAGGGACATAGCTCAGCAGCACAGCACCTGCCTGACAAGTGCGAGGTCCTAAATCTGATTCCCAGTACCAGTAAAAAACAAAAACAAAAACAATGGCTGGACACAAAAAAACTCTGGGGTAGGAGGGAGTGACGCCTGTGAGCTTAGTGGTGTAGTGTGGTCTATTACACCTGGGCTCCACCCCTCCCCACTAGCACCTGTGTGCCTTTGGCTTTAGCTCTGTGTGTTTTAGCTTCCAGAGCAGCCAGATCACCAAGGCCAGTCTGCTTGATAAGAAGCACTATAACCTCCTAGCACTAGGGCAGCAGAAGCAGAGGATCACTGAGAGTTTGAGGTCATACTGGTCTACATAGTGAGCTCAAGGCCAGGTTCAGCTATATGGTGAGACCCTGACTCAAAAAACAAAAATGAAAAGCTTCCCCCACTGTTTTTCTAAATTGTAATTTTACCTGTGGCTTGCCCTTGAACTTCATAAATGAACAAGGTTTCCTAGGCAGCCACCCTTCCCCCTCTTCTACTGTCCCTGTCCTAGGGTGTTTCACTGCCTCAACCAGAACTCACACTTCTGCCTTTTTCATCCCTGCTCCTTTGTTGTTAGAAAAACAAAAACAAAAACACGAAGAGGGTCCTCTGGCACCTTTCTGGGTTTTTTTGAGGTCAAAGCTATTTTCACAACATGATAAAATACTGCCTTTTCCCCAAATAGAGTGTTTCCCAGAGGACACATGATGTGTGATATTTAACAGATTGCATGCAAAAGCAGAACTGAGAATCACTGTCTTCTATTAAACCAGACATTGAAAAGATTCGCAAAAGCGTAAAACAGCCACACTTTTCACATTTTTTTGTTTTAGAAAATACACTTTTTTCTTCACACTGAGATACATCTCCAGCTCTTGTTTTTGTTTTTTGAGACAGGATTTTGCTATGTAGTTTGAACTGGCCTTGGACTCATTTTGTAGCCCACACAGTCTCAAACTCACAATGATTCTCTTGACTCAGCCTCCCAAATGCTAAGATTACTGGCATGCTGCTTCTTTTTATTTTTTATTTTGAGACCATATCTCACAAAGTTGTTAAAATGTCCAGGCTGAACTCAAACTTTTTATCCTACTGCCTCAGTCTCTCGGTCTGTGCCACTATAAGACTGGAAAATATCCTCATTTTTCATAAAAATATACTATTTCTGTTAACATGTGATATAACTTGGGTTAGTTTAAATAAATAGGCACATAAATTTTGCTACTGAGGGTCAAACCCAGGGCTTATAGCTGCTAAGCACATGTTCTGCCACTAAGTTATGGCCTCAGTCATATATATATATATATATATATATATATATACATATAAAATTTTTTTTGGTACTAGGGATCGAACTCACGATCAGGCACTTATGCCACTGAGCTAAATCCCCAGCCTTATAAATATATTTTAAAATATACAAAGAAATTAACTTATTTATTTATTTATTTATTTATTGGAGACAAGGTCTCACTATGTAGTTCAGGCAGGCCTTGAATTCACTGTGTAGCCTCAGCTGGGCTCAAATTCACAGCAATCCTCTTGCCTCTGCTTCCCAAGTGCTGGGATTACAGATGTGCACCACCATACCTGGCCATTTGTCTCTTTAATGCAATAGCAAACTGAAGACATCATGTTCTTGTAGACTCAAGCTCTGCTCCTGCCTGGGTAGCAAGAGGGCTACAATAAATCCTCCCTAGCCCAGATATGAGTTGTTTGTCTAAAGGTTTCCAGATCTGTGGTTGGAACAAAACTAAAGCTTAATGAAAAAGTGTTAATAATTTAGAGGCTGATTTTTATCCAGTTGTCAGAATCCGGTTTCCCAGAGCGAGGTGACAATACCTTTTCATTTTGTGCAGGAATGCTGCAAGGGTTAAATAACATCCTCTTAATGCACTTCAGCACGATGTTGGCAAAGTGTTGATTCTCAACATACCTGAGTTTGCCAGAATGGAACAGTGCCTTCAGCTGCATGGAGGCCTGGCGTAAGGCAATGGCCCACTACAGCTTGATACCAGATCAAAGCAACCTGAAAACCCCAGACTGCTAAGGGCAAGTTACATTCAACTGTAAAGCAGTTGTGAAAAGCATGGGTGAATGTTAATTATCATTATTATTACATTTACCGAACTCATAAAAAGTCAGCAGTAGGAGATCCTGTACACATAAAGAATTCTGAAAAATCAAGAAAAAAATCAATTTAAAAATGGGCCACGCTGGGGATATGGCTCAATCACACAGTGCCTGCCTGGCAAGCACAAGGTCCTGAGTTTGATTCCTAGTACTAAAAATAAAATTTAAAAAAATGAGCTTGGATGCTTATTTGAATAGGGTAGAACACTTTGACATCTAAAAGTTTAAGTGGGCTCCAAGATGTCCCAATCTTACAATAGCTGCCAACTGCGAAGAAGTAGACCTCTTCTTACAATGCCTAAGCTGTGCACAGTAATACATGGAGCTAGCCTCAAGAGTTTCCAAGCTAGGGCGCTGGGGATTTAGCTCCGCGGCATAAGCGCCTGCTTTGGAAGCAGGCAGTCGTGAGTTCGATCTCCGGTACCGATAAAAAAAAAGAGTTTCCAAGCTAGTAGTAGCATGGGGGGCATCCTGTGATGAGAGCAGGCACAATCAAGGGTGAATGCATCAAGGTTTTTTGTTTTTGAGATAGAGTCTCAAGCCTGGTTTAATATAAACCAATAATATGCAAAACTGGAAGAAGTGACAACCTGGACCAGCTCTTTCATTAGACAAATGATGACCCAAGTGCAGAGAAGTTAGGTAACTTTCCTAAGATCACAATGGCCAGGATTTAAACCCATACTGACTAACTCTGGAGCCCTAGTTTTTAACTATTTTGGCATTGAGCCTTTTGATTTGGATCTCTAACCATCAATTTAATGTCATAAGAATGCTAAACTGGATTATTCCGAAATTAGTGATGTTTTTCCTTCTGTTTGACTTTCCCATTACAAAAAAACTCTGAGGTACCATCTCTGTTCTTGAGATACAAGATTTTAGTTTTACTGTGTAAAGCTGTTGTCATAAGTGAAGAGTTGGGGTAAGGGAGGGATTTGAGGGTACAGGGCTTGGTTAAAGGCTAGTGGGAGTATTTTCAGGAGCAATTAAAGGCTGGCTGCTGTTATTTCTGAACAGGGATGACTGGAGGGAGGTCTTCTGGGCCTGGATCAGGTTTCGAAATCGCCGCTGCTGTTGGAGCCAATACAGCATCTCCACTTTGTCTCGCTTCATCTTGTCCAGGTAGCGCCGGCCCTTGAAGGTCACTGGCTCATCAAAGATTTGCTCAATCTCCTCTAGAAGGGAAATCAAGGCAGGTTCCATTTGATTAAGCTGCTTATGGATATAGCTGCGGAACTGATCTTGCTCCAGGAGGTGATGTAGGTCCAAGTTAGTTTTTTGGAAGAAACGATTGGGGTCAGAGGCTTGTCGCTCAAACACCTCCAGTTTTCCTAGAATTATCTCCCGCAGCTGAATGGACTTCACAGCCTGCTCCCAGGCCTTCACTAGTGACGGCAGCTGCTGCAGGCGGGCATTGGAGCTGTACTTAATGGCCATGTCCAGTCGGACCTTGTTGGGGACCTCGAGTATGGACCACAGTTGTTCCAGATGCTTCTGCAGGCTCAGGATATTGGGCTTCCCAGCTCGTAGCCTGTGTTGTAGCACTGTGTTCCAATCCCACTTTCCTGGCACAAAGTCTGGTTCTTCATCTTCTATTAAGGGAGGAGGACGCTGAATCACTAAGGTCTCTTTGACAGGCGCTGCTACCTCTACAGGAACCTCCTCTTCATGCATTCGGAAAATTACATGGAGGAAATCTGACTCCTGGTTTGTGAGGTACTTGAAGTAGTCATTCACAGACATGTTTTTCCACCAGTTCATCCAGGAGGCCTTATTTGATTGCTTCTCCCAGCCTTTGGTTGGTTGGGCTGATGTGAAAGAAGCTATCTTCTCAGGGCTGGACTCCAGAGTATTTGTTTTCTGGGAGTAAAGTCCAACCAGGTCAGGGTTGATTATTTGAAACTGTTTTTCTTGGCGTAGAAAAGCTGAGCACAGGAAAGCTGACCAATCTTTCTCTGATGTTGGTTCAACTTGAGGTTGTTTGTCAAAACAGAGGTGGTTAGTAGAGACACAGCTCATCAACTCCTTGTAGACTTCCTTGATATTACTGGCAACATAGTAATCAGTATCCATTTCTTCAATGATTTTGGAGTCTAGTTCACCAGCTAGGTGGTTATACAGGACTCCAGCTCCCTCAACATGAAAAGAGTCCAAAAAGTTTCTATCAGAGAGCTGCACAGCAGCTGCTTGGAACACAGCCTGATTTCTTAGCTTCAAAGTACAGGTCACTGGCTGTGGTTGAAGTGGAGGTAATTTGGGGTGCTGAAGGTCCTTCTGCTCAGAGACTTCTTCCTCCTGGAGTCTCTTCAACATTTTCTGCAGTTCTGTCATGCGATGTCCAGCAGCTGGGTGGCAGGTCACAGCCCCCAGGAGTCGAGGCAGACCTGAGTCCAATGGTGAGTAGTGAGTCCACTCCCATATCATGTTCTTCATCTTCTGCTTCAGATCTTCAGCCACAAAGTCTCTAGTCAGCTCTGTTTTCCTCTCTGGAACCAAAACTAATGGGGTCAAGGGGCGAGCAGAGAGTGGAGGAAGGCCCAGCTCATCTGCTAGCATCCAGCCTTCACGAAGAGAAGGCATGGACTGGCCCCTCTTGAGCTGAGAGCACAGACGGAAGGAGAGAGGGAAAGCTGCACTGGTGGGCGTCACAGAGTGACAGGGTAGTGACACCATCTGTGAGGGACTCAAGTCGACTTCTCTCTCCTTTCTTATGGAGGGCAGCCAGTAAAGATGCTTTTTACTCTTCAGCTCAGGGATGGACTTTAATTCTTTCATTGGATCCAGTTCAGGCTCCCTGAAAAACTCTGTTGGGCGGCTAAGTTGGATGAGGTAGTTCAGATTGAGGTTAGAGCATGGCACTTGGCCGAAGCCAGTGCTGTGAGGCCAGGGGATGGGACACAACTTGAAGGTCCCAGCGGGGCAGACAGGGCGTAGCATGCTTACATTGCCAGGGTCTTGTTTTATCTTCAGCAGGGCCTGGAAATCCTGGAGCAGGTAACGGTAGACATTGGGACTAGTGAGAAAGACCGTGCAGTCCCTAGCAAGGCTGGCAGCCAACCGGGTGAGGGTGGCCGACTCTGTGAAGACCCCCCGGAGGGTCGACATGGTCACCAGCAGATGCAGGTAGCGTAAGAAGAGCTGCTCGCTGCTGAGCAGGACGTAGGTCTCAAGCCGCTTTCGCAGCTTCACATTGTTCCCATAGCTAAGACTAGGTTCGGCAGGAGGCTCCTGCCAACTGCACTTCAGCTCGTTCAGGATGACTTCGGTGAGACGCAGTCGTTCTTTGGGAGACACCTGCGCCGTCAGCCCGCTACTAGCCAGTTGCTTGGCCACTTGGTTGCACAGCGAAGCCACCCTCAGCTTAGCGAGCTTCATGGTCTGCCATCTCGCCTCCTTTTCTGGGCGGCGCTTTTGAGGCTCTGGGGATGTAGCCTTGCGCCGGAAAAGAGACAGCGGACTCAGCAACTGATGGTAAAACTTTTGAAGCTCAGGCCCAGCCTTCTGACCCTCCATCTTGTCGCGCTCGACGCCCGCCCTTTGGGCAAAGGACGCCAAACAGTTGCTAAGGCAACTAGGGCCCGGTGGCCCGAGTGCGCTTGCGCAACCCTGGCCGGTCGGCCAGTAAAAGTCCTCCTAAGACCAGGCTTATGTGTGCGCACGCGCCGGGGGGCGGGGCAAAAGGTGGCTTCGGAAGCTCAGTCTCCCCAGCGTTTGGTCGCTGGGTTGTCCTCTGGACTCTTGTAGAGTTCAGCGTGCTGGTGACTTGGACTAGGATGGCTTCGGATTCGGGGGAGCGCGGGGCCCTGTGCACGGTGAGAATAGAAGTTTCGTGTGGAGCCTCGCCAGGCACAGCCCCGGCCCTTGGGGTGATGTTATCTTGGGAAGAAGCAGGCACCTAGGGAGGGGCCACGAACAGCCGGGTGAAATTGAAGGGCTCAAGCAGCAGGATTCTTGGTGTGAAAGTGGAGAGTAAATGGGAATGAAACTACGGTCCCAGAGTAATCATGAGCGATAATGAAGGGGCTTGAAGAGGGACCTTGTGGCAAGACCCAGGCATTAAAGTGATCGCATCAGACAAGATCCCAGCCCTAAATAGCCGTCTCTACCTCCCTTGCAGCTGGAGTTTGCCGTGCAGATGACCTGTCAGAGCTGCGTGGACGCGGTGCTCAAGTCCCTACAAGGGGTGACAGGTGAGAGCAGAATTAATCTTTCTGCGGCCTGTTCAGAGACCTCTAGGAAGGACTATGGCAGTCTCAGTCTAGCCCTACATCCACTTTCTACACGCAGAAACCGATACCCATAGGGTGAAAGGAATGTTCTTAGGTTTTCACAGAGACTTAGAAGCAAGGCCTAGAGTGGGGGTCTCAGGCTTGCCCAGCTAAGAGCCCTCTGCTGGTTCTGCCTGTTCCTTTGTAGGCCTGAGCCACAGGAACCTTGGAGAGTGAGGAGCTGGTCAGAGTAAAATTCCTGTGGAACACACACAATGCTCTTGATTAGGAAACAGCACAATCTCGACAAAGCAAACAACACTGGCTCTGATTCATGTTAGGTAGCTTCAGGTTCTTAAAAGACCCGCAGGTGTGCAGGGACCTGGCACAATCAGAAAGATCTGAAAGGTAGAGCCATTGGCATGGCACTGAGAACTGTTTACTTCAATATTGCTACATGTTCATCCAGTCATTCAGCAGATATGGGCCAGAACTGGGGACTTTTTTAGGAAAAAGGTTTACCCTTGTGCTCAGGAAAAGATAGGCATGCAAGTATCATCCAGCTGGCATTCATAGAACACTTCATGCAGTTAGAAACATGTAGTGGCTAGACATCTGCACCCTGGAATGAGATCGGTTGGCATTCAAACCACTTACTGGCACAAAGATTGTATGGAAATTACCTTTTGTGCCTGTGCTTCTGCAGTTTAAATTTTGTTTGTTTTTGATATAGGTATCACCAGGGCCTCCTGCTTGCAAGGCAGGCACCCTACTATTGAGCTACCTCTCTGGACCTTGTTTTTTGAGACAGAGTTTCATAATTGTAGCCCAGGACTCACTATGTAAGCCCTGGATGCATAGCAATCCTCTTGTCTCAGGCAGGCAAGATCCTCCGTGCACCACAGGTTCCTGGCAGTTTTTTTCCGTGTAAATGGAGATGATAATAGCTTCCCTGGAGTCATATAGAGACTTGGAGAATAAATTAGTTAATATGCATAAAGTACTTTAGCAAAGTCTTGGGCATGCAGTGAGAGCCCAGTACATCTCAGGGAAAGAATAGAAGAAGGGCTTATAGGAGATCTGCTTGAAAGATGTGAGGGGACAGATCCTGAAGTTGGATTTGTTTAGACAATGTGTTTTAGACTGGTGGGTAGGGGCTGGATGAAGATTGAACCATTCTACTTAGAGTGAAGTGTTCTAATTAAAGCTTTTCTGGTAAAACATTTCTGCTGGGACAGCAGACAGTTGCACTTTTTGTTGGATGCAAGACAGTTTTCAGTCCTCAGCAGGTTTCCTCACCAGAAAGAGACTTCTGGTGACTCTGTTTTGGGTCTGGGTCACTGGAACCAGCTTGGCTTTGTCATGGGCTGGGCAAGGAAGTCACAGTTTCTAGAAGGCACAGAGAGTGAGAATTGCCTGGAGCCTTGGGAAAAAGTTCTTTAATCTTCCTGGAGTGAATTAGAAGAGCTTCCGGATCCAGGTTCCCTCCCTTGTACCCTTGTTACTCACCCTGCAGTTCCTTTGGCCTCTTTTCTTACCAGGCCCTGAGCTAACCAAATCCTGCCCTAGTCACAGTCAGAGGTTCACCAGCTGCACTGAACATCTGCTTCACTAAGGAACCTCTGGCTGAGATGCAGGTTAGGAATTAAGGCTGGGCATAGTTACAAAGTGCTTCCTGCTACAAACCTTCCCACTTCAGGAACAGAGAATCAACGCCTTCTTGCTAAACCCCAGGGACCAGAAACCCACCTTGGCTAAGGGTAGGCCATCTGGAAGCTTTATCTGGTATGTGTGTAAAACATACTCAGACTTGCTCTCTCACCTCTTCCTAGCCTGTCAAAGACCTTATCTGTGGGCTCCCTATTGCCTCAGTTTCCCATCTAATAGTTTTTTCATGTAAAAGTCTTTTTGTTGTTGTTCTTTAAAACCATACCTCAGGTGACATGGCATTAGTAATGTGAGATTTTTGTAAAATTTTTTTGTACTGGGAATTGAACTTAGGACCTTGCCCTTGCCAGGCAAGTTATATGAGATTTAAAAAATTTTTTTTAACTCTGGGGATTTTTTTTTTAAAACTCTGGCCTCAGTTCCAGGCCCTTGGTACTGAGCTACATCCCTCTTTCTCTATTTTTTTGAGACAGAGTCTTACTAAGTACCTTGGCTGACCTTGAACTTTCAGTCCTCTTGGCTCAGCCTTCCAGAGTGCTGAGATTACACTAGCCCTAGCTCACTTTGAATTTGCTATGTAGCTAGGGCTAGCCTCAAACCCATGAATTTCCTGCCTCAGCCTCCTGAGTGCTAGGATTATAGGCACGCCCAGCTGAGAGTATTTCCATAAAAATATGTAAGAATCATCCCACAAGCTTGTGTAAATGGGGTGTTATGGACCACACAAAGCTTCTGCTGTCACAGAGCTATCAGCCTAGCTAGTGAAACAAAGGATTATACAGAGTAGGTCACTCAGAGGATGTGGGAGCTGTGATAGGATAAGTGTGTGTATGTAGAGTCCTAGCCCAGTCAGGAAGCAAGAGCTTGCTTCTTGGGGTGAGCAGAATGTCAGAATTAAGTGCTTACACTCTGGAGCTAGGATACCTGGGGTTTCTTGCTGTGCAACTTATTAAAATATGACTTGGAGCAAGTTTCTTAATTGCTCTGTGCCTCAGTTTTCCCACTTGTCAGATAGAAATAATAGCACCTAACTCACAGGTTTGTGGTATCAGATGAGTCAATACAGTAAAACACGTCAAAGAGGGCCTGGTCCATAGTACCTTTTTTTTTTTTTTAATTTTTTAAAATTAGTCAAGTGCAGTAGTGAGAAAGGAGGGAAAGAGAAGAACAAGGAGTTCAATCTGTACTGACTGTGAACAATCAATTGAGATAACTCACTACCTTCGGACCAGCCCATAGTATTTTTTTAGTTAATGTCAGTTCTCAGGATGATGACACTAACTACCCCCCAACCTGATCTACATAACAGCTTTATTGAGATACAATTTATGTACCGTAAAACTCATTTAAGCTCATGCAGAGGCAGAGGAGGAGGAAGGGGACATAAGATATGTTATGTAGGGCTGGGGATTTAGCTCAGTGGCATAAGCACCTGCCTTGCAAGCAGGTGGTTGTGAGTTCAATCCCTGGTACCGAAAAAAAAAAAAAAAAAAGATGTGTTATGTGCATGTACTTCCCCACAATGAAGGTAACTGTTATATACTGCAAGCATGTACTAATAAAAATAAAGTCTGCATGGCAGTTAGTGTACTCACAGAGTCTAACAGCCATCACCACTATGAATTTTATGTTTTTATCGTTTCTTAAATCCTTGCTGTGCGTGTTGATGTACACCTTTAATCTCAACACTTAGGAGGCTGAGGCAGAATAATTGTTGAGAGTTCGAGACCAGCCTGGGCTATACAGTGAATTCGAGGCCAGCTTGAACTGCATAGTGAGACCCTGTCCCCACCCGCTCCAAAAAAAAGAGATCCTATATCCTGTAGTTAGCACCTTCCTATTCCCCTACCCATACCCCTAATTTATTTTCTGTCTATAGATTTGCCTGTTTTGGACATTTCCTATAAATAGCTTCATATAATATTTGAGGTTTTTTTGTGACTGTTTTCATCTGACTGTCTTCAAGGTTCATCCATCCATGTTGTAGCACGTATCCATACTTCGTTCCTTTTTATGGCCAATACATCATCATATGGATACTACTTGTCTATTATCAGTTGATCAGCCTCCGGGTTGTTTTTACCTTTCAACTATTATCAGTGATGCTGCCACTGATAGCCTACTTTTCTCCTTCTCCTCCTCCTCCCAGGTTTAGTCCACTTTTGTTAAAGCATTTTAAGAAGAATTTTCAATATCTCAAAAGTTATAAATAAGTTAGGCTTGGTGGTGCACACCTGTAATCTTAGCACTCTGGGAGACTAAGTAAGGAGAATCATAAATTTGAGCTTAGCTCAAATGACTTAGTGATTCAGCAAGACCCTGTGTCAAAAAATAAAGGACTGAGGATGTAGTTCAGTATAAAAGTCATGGGTTCAATCTTCAATATTGGAAAAAGAAAAAAAAAAACTCACAGTTATAAATAATCTGTGGTATGTAACAAAAACTCACAAAACTCCTGAGAATGACCTAGCTATTATCCCCACTTTATATGTAAAGAAGCACAGGTTAAGAGGACTCAAGGTCCCACAGCTAGAAGGCAGCTTCCAAGCTTAACTCTGGGTGTAGTAAGATTAGTGTGAATGGGCTTTGGGAGCCACTCTGTCTTTCTTCCCTTTACCAGCACAGAATGCCAACCTTCTGCTGCCCTCTGCCTTTTCTGTCCTTTCAGGTGTCCAAGACGTAGAGGTGCAATTGGAAAATCAGATGGTC